GGGGCCGGTTTCACAAAGCAGTAGTTAGTTAGCGATCGGTAGTTAGCCTCTCGCTAGTTATAGTGCCGTTTCACGAAGCAGTCGCTAGTTCTCTCGCTCGTTATTGTCTCGTTGTTGCCTTGGATATTTAACGACTGGTCAGACCAGTCGCTAACTCTAGAGTTTCATCGTACGCATGCGTAATGAGTGAAATAAAAAGGTTGCTTAGTTACCATTGTCTGTCGTTTGTCTTTGTATACAATATGGCGGCTACCTTTCTTGCTATCCGTACCGTCAGACGGCAACGTAGACTACGACGTTTTCATGAAAGGCAGAATCTATTAGAATATACACACGATGATGCAATTTACGAGAGGTTGCGCCTAGCTGTGACAAAAAGAGCGGCAAAAAGGTGGTGGAGATCCTTTACGACGACCTCAAAGCAGACGTTCTTATGCATTTTCAGCCACCAAAAATTGGAGAGTTAGTGCTTTCGTGACACTTTTACGCAAGAGTTCCACTTCCGGCAGACGGTTTCGAGTGTAGTGAGTAACGAGAGAACTAACGACCGAACTTTACGACCGAACTTAGCGATAAGTTAACTACTGCTTCGTGAAACACCCCTCGAAAATCGCTAAGTTTGCACGTTAGCGAGGTAGTTCAGTAGTTAGTTGTTCTAACTGTCTTTTAGTTGTTCTAACTAACTACTGCTTTGTGAAGCCGGCCCCTGAAATGAGAGTGGTACGTATGTTTCAGGTTACAGTGGATCGAAATAAACCTCGCTTATCAAACATACACTAAACGTTTAATGTATTAACCAGGCACATGTAGATGTACTCTTACCATTGATTTCTAGGGTTAACATTTTTTGTTAAATGCGTTACATAGGAATTGGAATTATGCAAACCATGTCATGCACCGTTCTAAAAAACAAAGTATGGTTTCAGACTATAAAATTCGATATGCACTATCACGTTGTCAACTCAGAGAGAAATGTCTTTTAATAGAAGTGAGTGATCTCTCTTTCGTGATACAACATTGCAACCATGCACTTAACATAAAATAAAAAGAGTAGGTTATGTACACATCCAGGCAACCTATGGTAATCCCAATCGACATAAATATCGACATATTTCAAACGACCTAATTGTTTAAAATTAGTGCACAAATGTTCAAACATCAATTGTTCATTATATTTTACGTGAATTTGACTAGACTTTAACCCTAAGAAATTTCCAAATACATAAGCTAATAACAAAATCCATTATCTCGGCAAAGGTGATTAAGGTGCTTCCCAGAACGAGGCCAAGAGCACCTCCTATGTCAGCAAACAAAGTCAGCGTGCTGTAGGCTTCTTGTTGTACCACCTCCTCGTACGTCATGTCCGTGTAGTATAACGCCACGCTGACGAAATCTTTTTCAACGGATTCTGCTGTTCTGTTGAATTCCAACGATATTGGTTTTGCAGACATTTTAGAACTTGAGATGCTGTAGTCGAAAGATAAAATCTCGCATGGTACTATACAGTCACACTGTCGCTTTATCTGGGTCGTGTTTTCTGACAGCGGGAAATAACACGTGATGATGTCACGTGGGGAACAGTCTCTGTAACCTTTAACCTCTGGATAGTATACCATCCGGCAGCCACACGTTTTCAAAGTCATATTGTGTCTGAAATGGTATTCAAAGCTAATTATGCATCACACCAAAGAGAGAGAGAGAAAGAGAGAGAGGAAGAGAGGGCGCAAAGCGTGTGTTGTATGTTCTTTATGCATATTTTATACAATTCTGATATTTCAGATATTTAGACACAACCACAGTGCGTAAAGCATATATTGACTTATATTAACTTGTCTTAAAACAAAATTTTTGATTTAAAATGTGTGCCCATTCAAATACTAAATATTGACATCTGTTTCATGTTGTTCAAGATATTTATTCGACGACCTTACCACGTGCATGCAAATACTATTTTACTTATAATAATGAATGTCTAATCTACTACTCTTGACTCAGCAGAATTTATGACTGTCATTGTTTTGCTTACACCATAGATACATACAGGCATTCTGCACGGCAGTTTACTTTGCTGTACTTTTTGTAGTAAGCCAGTTTTCTCTCGCCACAGTTGCCATAGGGAGCAGGGAGGTTTACCGACTGAAAAAAAGTTCTTATTATCGAACACACTTATTGCAGGATATACGAAATATGTTGGTTACAATGACAGTGAACTTATGTCAAATAAATAGAAGTTTGTTCTCAATCATCTGACAAGACCTAAAATCTTATGCAAAATAATTTTATATCTTTTTGTACTCAATCAAATTTGTGATTTAAAGAGAAATAATCATAGCTAAAGAAGAAGACTCAATTGTGATAACATTTACTTAGTGGCAGTCAGCCCTAATTTCCGCATATTTTCGGTACGTCAGATTGCAATCAATTTATAATTTATAATTGGATCAATTAAAATGTGCTTTGTTTTCCTATAGCGGTGTTGTCTTCTTTAATTGTACTAATTTAGTGTATTTACAAGTACCTTTTTCAGTTTAAGGGCAATGAAGGCGCTTTCTCCTGGGACGGTATGGATGGCAAAACTCAGCATGTCTGGATGGTCGTGTCGGTCATGTAATAGTATCTGAAATCATAATACAAAATTATATTGTGACGTTCAACTTAAAAAAGTACATATAATGAAATATAAGAAAAAAAAACAAGCAATCAAATTATTGATCTTTTATGTGCGTCAGTGTTCTCTTCTCTCCTTAATTTTTAATTCTTAGGTCAAACTATAGCTTCCCAAATCTTGCTGTTGTATCTAATCTACATTCATACAAGTAATTCGTCTCAATATTTAATCAAAGTTAAAATATTTTTGGGATGAAGCTAATATATATGTACAATATTTTACCAGTGCTCCGTTGCTCAAAACATTTTGAGTATATTCGTGCTGTTGTTGTGTGTCCAGATAGAGCTCAAGTCCATTTCTAGAACCTTCCATATCAACCTGATGAATCTCTTCACCTAAATTTAAAGAAAACCACAGATACTGAAGCGAAGTGTTTTGCATATGCAAGAATGGGTTTCTGATGATTCGTAATAATTCGAAAAAATTCGTGAACACTGGATAGAAAACATCTATGAAATTGGTAACACAAAAGATAATATTTGATGTAAAAGAAATGATGTGAGTGTGAAATGTTATTATTATTATTATTGCTAATCCTTATTCTGCATTTTTTCCAAGTTACTCATTATAAGTTTTCCATAAAATGTAATGGGATGAGTTGCACAGATGTGCTTTCTGTTGCATTCACTTTATTTTAAGATACAATGTCAACTTGTATCTTGCAAACTTATATAATATAATATAATATAATATAATATAATATAATATAATATAATATAATATAATCTTGAGGATACCTCCATTGAACTGATGGCACAATCCAAACTCGGTGAAGACTGGCCTAAATGCGTTTCTCTTGCATATCTTCGTCTTCCATTGGCACTGAATATTTGGAATGTTAAATGTTTCAAGTGTATAATTTGTTTTAACATTGCTGTACTTTTAAATTAAAGATATGATATATATATAATGTAATCAGTCAATTTATGTAAGCCTTTTCCCCAAAATAAAAATAAATAAACATCATCAACATAAAAAAATCAAACAAATGCTACTTACAAACATAAAAAGGTCGGACTTTTGAAATCCATCCCTCAAGTAAAATTCAGCCCAGTTAATGTGATTGAGGTCATAGGCCGACTAATTGGGTGCCCCAAAGTAGGCATGAAACAGAGCACCGATTTCTGTCTCATTATGTCGCACCAAACTGGTGGCCTTAAATGGACTACTATTACAGACTGTGACCGTGGGAAATAATAAGGTGTCATTGTTGGTAATGTTGAACTTCGCGGTTGTCGGATTGGAGAGATAATAATCAAATCGGTTTTGTAGATGGTGAATCAAAAATCCAAATCCAACCAAAACGATGCACAGCCAAACGCTACGTCTAACGTACTAAAACTTTGGGTCGACGGATTGTTTCAGTCCTAAGATACTCATTTCCTTTGCAAAGTTGGTTATTTCGTTCCGTACCGTTACGTTAATATTGGAGACGTTAACCTTTAGTGGGTCTTTAACGGTGTCATTATTTTGGTTCTCATTTCGGTTATCTGAACCGTCGTAACATTCTCCGTGGCGCTGCTTGCCTTCGTCAAAATTAATTCCACCATCAGGCATTGTAAGCTTATATTTGGTCAAGTTACATGAAAATGATTAGACGAATGTCTGGTACTTTTTTCTGAACTACACAAGTAAAAATAATTACGTTATTATTACATTATCCCATTCGTTATATAGCAACAAATGATATTCTATTGTCTACAAAAAATTGCAGTTGGTTTCCCAGGTAAGTGTTTGCTTTGTGAGACAAAGAACAGATGCGTCCATAATACTAGCGCTTATCACAGGAAATTGATACTGCTTAAACAAGACAGGGATTTCGAAAGCAGGGGATTCGTTTTCGGAAAAACAGAGGCAACGGTAATCAAACTTTCTTGGTGTAATGGCTTTTACTCGTCCAGTGCCGTATGATGGTATTCAATGAGCAAAGAACGGGGATGCCTCCTCTCACAGTAACTGTAAGAGGATCAGTGGAATCCCCTTAGTATCATTTTCATGGATATTGGCATTGGACAACTATTCTGTGGTCTGAAGCACTGTTGACTTTGCTGTGATGAATCAACTAGTGTTGGTGATCGATTTAGAGATCGATATCATACATTGGTTACCAAGTTACCAACGGAACCTTTGAACATAATTCGTGTGTGAATAACAAATGGTCTGCGGTAAAAATTAGTTTGGTGAAATATATATTACAGATATTTGGGGCTAAAAAGTAATTCAAACTGCCATTATATATGAAACTATCTGCAACACTTAAACTTCAAGAACTGATTACTAGAGGAAGACGAATTAAATAAAAATTAAGAAGACAAGACAAATACTAAATGGGAAAGCGAGATGAAACATCAAGTGCATATAACAAGATATTCACTATATTCACTGAGACAATTACTATACAGATAATCAAAGTAACACAACATATTGAATTTAACATTAAGAAACATATCCAATATAGCACGTTTTAACTTAAAAGTCAACTTCGTGCAACCAAGGCAAGGATGGGAACAGTTCTCTGAAGGTCGCCCTATAGAGATTTTGAGCGAGATACGTCCGCCGGTTGCCGCTGTCTGGGTCTGGCACCACGTTGGGGTACAGCACGAATAAAGATGGGAAGAAATCCCGAACCAGACCTTGGTAGAACAGAATAGTCCCGTTCACAAGGGGCGTGTTCTGCGGAGGACACCTGGAACCTACAATGTATGTTAAACTACTATAGCGAATACACTATTGGATCTTTGTTATAATAATAATAATTATAAATAAACATGGTAAATACCACTAAAAAATTCACCTGAAAGATTGCTACTACTGCTACTACTACTACTACTACTTACATGGTACATTTCACTAAAAGATCGACATGAAGAATTACGATCGCTTTTCTATACTGCTCCTCGAGTCGAAACCCATGTATTCTATTTATATCACTAAAATATCAGACTCTGCTGTGATGTGAATATTCATTACAACTTACTTTATTATTGTCAGAGTCAAATGTAAATGTTGTTGACTTTGATGTTTAACTCAAACTAACGTCCAGAACTAAAGCAACTGAATCATAAGAATGCGGTGGGTTCTCCTGATTGTGGTAGGTGTGCTGTGGATTGTGATCAATGTGTTAATATGTGTGAAGAACGAAGTATTAGATAAAGGTATGCCTACTCTACTCATTGTGAATAATAGCAGTAACAACAACAACAAAAATTATTATGATGATAATGATAATGCCCCCCTCCCTCTCTTCCTTATCACCAGTGGTGTTCTATATCAATATATGTACAATTCCCCCATATTGCCGTGCAATATTCTAGTTTTCTTTCTATCAAATACTCAAATAAGCACTGTACATATACGAGCTAAGACACAAGGCAATTACCTTTCTTTCTATTCTTTCTAGTCCTTACATGTACAAGTTATTAGTTTCACTTTTATGTACCATGTGGGATATCACGATATACAAGAAAATAGAATTTTATTTTATTGTTTGAACACTATTTGGTTCAAAACATAAAAGTTGGTGAAATTTTATCCCCCCCCCCAAAAAAAAAAAAAAAAAAAAGATGAATCGAGGCACCGACCTGAATTTGCTGGTCCATGTGAAGTCAAAACATTATTTTCTTTTGTTCTTCGCTACTAATGATTCGAAGAAAAAAAAATTGAAAAATGAAAAAAAAATAGAACACAGATATAATCGACTGCTTTCATGGCCACGTTTAGTGTCAGGGGAAAAAGGACGTGACAGAAGTACAGGTCATCGATCATTTTGCAAAAAAAAAAAAAAAAAAAAAAAAAAAAGGTTTTCATGTACGGTGTCAACAAAAGGTGTATCATACCATTACTAACAAATGAAAACCGTTAGTGCAAGAATGTATTTTACAGGCGGTCATACAGTGTTCCCCAGGAGGATTCTAGAGCTCAAGTCGTAAAATATATATAAACAAAACTACAGCAGTTTGACAAGATCAAGATTACCACCAATGATGAAATTTGAAATATTGATCATGACTAATATGCCACGCCTGCAAACACTTCTTGAAGGATCTTTTTTACTAAACGGCTTCACCAGTCGTGTACTTTGAATATTTGTTATGCACGCCTAGATTTGAAAAAAAAATGTAACTTTTCAATAAAGAAAGATCAACTGTGAATTTTGTTTCGAGTTTTGTTTGGTTTTTGTGACAATAACTTGTTACCTGACAAACATCTCAAAAAGTTTGTTCTTATAACATTTTAGTTTTAACCTAAGGCGCTATGGGCAATAGCAACATGTACAAGAAAGTGAAACTTAATTGAATTTTAATGAAAACTTCTTGATTCAAAACAATGTAAAAGTTGGTGACATTTTTATCAACAATAAACCTAGGGTCGGATGGAGGTGGTCTTCTGGTTCTAACGTAATATCCTCATTTGACAGCACAGTAGTTTTTTTCAATCACCAACGTACCAGTATTATCCGTCTCGCATTTGACCGATTATTGCCAGATCCCATATTTGATTACCTCACGTTTTATACCAAATAAGGGACAAAGCGTCATGGTAGCCAATCACGTGCTCACACGTCATCAGGCCCACAAAGTAGGTGGAGCGAAGGTAATGCAGTTGTTTATGCTAAAAACAGTGCATTTCTACATGCACTCATGTATACATGTTTACATGTATACCGAGGTTCAGATGTCGCAGGATTATCCTTTAGTACTGGGGAAGATATAGAAATTGTTGTCTCTCTCTCTGCCTTTCTTTCTCACAACTCCCATCGTTTTATGTGTGTGTGTGTGTGTGTGTGTGTGTGTGTGTGTGTGTGTGAGAGAGAGAGAGAGAGAGAGAGAGAGAGAGAGGGAGAGAGAGAGAGAGAGAGAGAGAGGAAAAAGAGAGAGAAAGAGTTCTGCCTTTCATTTTATTTCCAGGTAGAAAAGATTAACCTAAAAAGAACAAAGACAATTTAAGCGTTAGAATTTGCTTAATAAACCAATAAACAGTCTCTTTACATCAAGACCTCACCTGTGATTGTGATAGAGATATGACAACCTTTATATCCATACTCATTCCCTTACATTCCATTTCAGTCAAATAACTATTTACATAAAATATTAAAATACTATTGGGCTGAATCACGTCCAAGTTTGGAAGGCTACAATTTACAACACACACACACACACCCACACACACACGCACAAAGAGAGAGAGGGGGTAGTGAGACATCATTTTAACTTACAGACACACAAAATATGCATGTTATTATATGAAAAATTTGTGTGTGACTAAGTTGTTGCCTTTGTATTTTGTCGTTAGTTAATACGACACCGTTATAATCTTTTACATTATTTATTAACTACATCCTAGTTGTTTCCCGCGCCGCTTTGTTTCCAGTTCTATCTCTAACTTATGGTGTCTCTAGCGGCCTTCTCCTTCGTTGGCTGTCAATCACTAAGGTTACATGTGAAAGGTTTTGTTTATAACATATTTCCATTTTTTCGAAAAGATACAATAAGTGGTTGCAAAACGTAACGACAACCTGATTACTGCACCTTTCGAATGGAATATGCACTATGAACCAATTTCATCTTACTTGAATATTTAAATGCATAAATGGCTTTCCATTATGTAAATCCCATACGACAGATGCCAAAGGCAGATCTAGAAGAGTATGTTTTGGGGGTGCAAATCGTACAACCCGCATATTATGTACGTCTGATGTGTTCATTGTATTAAGATAATAAAACATACATGAATACATAGACTGGTTTCACAGTAAGAATTAAGCAATATAGTGTACTGG